ACTATCCTAAGTTGCTCCACATTGGGGTAGGCCTGTGAATTACAGCCCTATTGGGACCATGGAAGTATTGGGATGTTGGGCAGAGGGTGTGGCTGAGGTGTGGGATGCAAAAGTGCTCCCCAAACTTGGCAGCCACCATTGCAGTGCCTCAATCTCAGTGCCCCTTACAGAAAAACACAACAGAATCAGTTTCCATTCCTTTTATTGTAGGTCTTTATTATCTTTGCTGGGAAGTGAAATCAAGGGAGGAGGAAGGGATAAAAGGGGACGTTGGTGGGTCTTTCTGAGAACTGGGAGGGGTCTCCATTCATGATGTGTGCCCTTCCTCACCCTGAGCACCTCGCAGGGAGCCTCATGGGCTCTGCTTCTGCTCAACCCCCACCCCAGGCTTTTCTTGCCACGGCAGTGGGGGAAACCAAACAAAATCTGGAGCTCTGTGTGCAGATTCCCCTTCCTCAGCACTGGAGCTTGTCTCCTTGGCATTTCAGCTTGAAGTAGAAGCGGTAGGAATGACTGTACGAAGGCAGAGTGCTCGCAAAGCACAAGGCCACTGCCTTGTCACACAGGCAAGTCTCTCTCTCACACCAGCTCTGCTTGTTACCTGAGGGGTGGAAATACAGTGTCCTGTAGTGACTTTTCTGGTGGGGTCCCCTCAGGATGCCTCCAGTGCCTGGAGCTTCCTGAGGGAAGTGGATGAAACAGTGTGTCCCAGTGCTTGCTCTCTCTGACCTGTTGCATCCCTTGCAATGCCCATTTAATTATCAAACTTGGACAGGAATCAGGCTGGTTTCACCCCAGGGGTTGCCCTCCCGAGTGCCTTGCTCCGGGGATGGGGTGTCATGGGGAGCAGTGCTGGTCCCCCACCTCCATGGAACCCCTGTTCTCTACTCACTGCAGGTGATGTGTCCGTCATCAGTGGTGAAGGTGTACGGGGTGATCAAGGGGCTGCACTTGCCCTCCCTCACCGTCCTGTAGCAGCAGTCGTGGGCTTGGCAGCACCTGTGGGGGCACCATGTCAAACTGTGGCCCCCCCAACCCTCCCTCACCACACCTGGAGGGTAAAGGAAGGTCCAGCCTCAAATTTAAGGTGACCAGGAGGAGGGGATGGTCAGGCAGCAGCAAGACATGGCTGGGGAATGGGGCGAACTTCCCAGAGCACAGGAGCTCCAAGGGAGGGGCTTTTTAGGGACTGCCCTTCACTGGGGGTGGTGAGTGGTGATGCTGTTCCAGATACTCACCGGTCGGTGGGATCCACGGGGGTCCCTCTGCCCCCAATGCCGCAGAAACACCCATACCAGCTGTAGGAGAGCAGGGCACTCTTCCCTGTGGTCGACCTGATCATCCGCTCCAGCTCCAGGATGCTGGTGCCAGCTGGGAGCAGCCCTGTGGAGAGGCAGAGGGATGGGGCTTGTGCCGGTGCAGCGTGGGGAAGCTGGTGGTGTTCCCGACACCTCATGCCAGGCAGGGAATTAAATGTCTGGCATTGCTAGAAACACACTTTCAGGAATTTGAACCATGAGGAGCCCTAACACCCCCCAAGGATTATAGAATCATAGAATTCCAGAATGGTTTGGGAGTGAAGGGACCTTAAAGCCCATCTCATTCCACCCCCTGCCATGGGCAGGGACACCTTCCACTATCCCAGGTTGCTCCAAGCCTCATCCAGCCTGGCCTTGAACACTTCCAGGGATGAGGCAGCCACAGCTTCTCTGGGCAACCTGTGCCAGGGCCTCACCACCTAAACAGGGAAAATGTCTGGCTTCTGCACCCCCTTGATTCAGTCGGGCAGAAGGTATTGCTCTCTGGTCAGGCAAACCCACAAGCCATGCTGCAAACAGCAATCCCCCATCACCAGGATCAGCCATGGGCTTGGCACAGGCAGGAAATGTTCCAGCAATCTCCAGGGCGCCATAAAATAAATATGGATCTGGGCATCCCAAAGCCTCCCTGTCACAAAGCCCTCCATGACTCCTGCAGTGCTACACGAAGTGTTGGAGTGAAACCACAAAATTTAAACAAAAACCTGAATTGTTCCCAAATCTTGAGGTTGGCAGGTGGATCCCCGTGTGTCCTGGGGACAGCGGGGCACTTACCACAAGCCAGGAGCACAGCAAGAAGGAGATTCCTCATCCTGGGGCTGCTCTGGAGAGGGAACAGCAAAGATGGGCGATGAACCAGGGGCAGCACAGGAACTCCCCCAGTGCCCACACCAAGGGCATGGAACCAGTTGGTTGGCAATGCCTCGTGGTGACATTCGTGTCACTATGGATTCACAGCCTTGTGAAGGCATCACCATGTCCCTATGACTCCTCATGGGGCCTTTAGCCTGGATTTGGGATGCAGCCCTTGTCACGGACATGGTGGCTGATCCTGCCTGGGGCTGATGAAGCAGCTCTCTATTCACAGCCTCCCCCCACCATCCCCTGAGCTGCCAGATGAGTAATAGGGCAGTAAATTCCCACTCTCCTTACCCCTCCTGGACCTGCAGCTCTGATGCCACTGGCTCAGAGGGTTTGGTTTTTATAGCTAGCCAGGCCCACCCCCTCCTCTATCTGCACTGTCATCCCAAGCTGGGCTCACCCGGAGCAGGGAGCATGTTCCCATCCTTCTCTTTCCCAAAAATCATTAGTTGCCCCAAGCAGTGAGCACCAACATTCCCTCCATCTGCTCATCACTGGGTGTGAGGCCATCTCCATACCTGCATGAAGCCAGTCAAGGCCTTCGCCATGGTTTTAAAATCTGTGGGATCTAGTGGCTGGAGCGATGGGATAAAAGTGATTTACATCGGGGCTGGCACCTTAAAGGTTGTTGAATCCTTGTTCCAGCTGCAGAGATGGCACTTTGGGCTCAAGTGTTGTCTCAAGTGAGGTTTTGCCAATTCACACCTTGAAGCTTCAGAGGTGGTTTCTCTTGGCTCCTTCCTTGCAATTGTCCCCTCAGATCCATGGCTGCATCCAAATCCAGCCTCACTGAATCACAAGGGGAGGCGAAGGGAAGACAGCCAACACCACAAGTGCAATTCCTGGGTCTGCAGTTTTCCTGTCCTGCCCTCTGTGTTTTTTTTCTGTCTGCCCAGAATGTGTGGGCAAGGGGTCTGAGAAATTAAATCACGAGCAGCAAAGGCTGGAAAAGCCATGGAAACCTGACTTAGAATGCTTGGGGTATACAGTTTATTTAATAACCATAACTCAGACATGATACAGAGAGAGGGGGGAGGCAGAAAACCAGAGGAGATAAGGAACAAAAGCTGCTGGTTTTCCCCTGAAACCGTGGGGCCAAGTGCAAACACAGACACAAATACAGGTATCTGGTGATATGCAGGGCTCCACCCTCAGGGATTAACCTGGGGAGGGGAATTCAGGGTTGAGAATTGTAAGGAAATGACTTAGGGGTCTGGAGTCAAGAAGAAAAAACTCTGTGGAATTTCTTGAGAAGCCACCAAAGCTGTCACTGGAAGGGACGTCACCTCCTGACTGTTTCTCCAAGGGGGCAGAGATGTCTGTCTCGGGGCTTTGCTTCCTCTAACCCTTAATTTTCTGTTGCAAGTGGAATAAAAACCCATCCAAGCCCATTAAGAATGGGGAGTAACACCTCACTCACCTCCTTGCCCACCTCGGCATCTGCACAAGAAACCATCCCAAAATGCCACAGTGACAATCCGACAGCCAAACCCCTGCTTTCCTTACCTCACTTCTAAAACCAAGGCACTCTAGTAATTAATTGATCCCTTTCCCACCTCCTCCACAAACGCTTCCATTACAGAAGGATTCCCCAGGTGGTGTTCGTTGGCTGTGCTATTTGTGTTTTAGCATTGCAGGTCCTTGGCTTTGGGGGAAAGACCTGAGTTTTTGCTGTAGAGTTTGGATAAACCTGCATGAAAAGCATAATCTGAGGGCCTAATTGAGAGCAGGAATCCTGTGGATTTGGGATCCACACATGGTTTTAACCAAATCCCTCATTTTAAGCCCTCTCTCTCTGCAGGGGGTCTCAGGAGAGTGACCAAATGAAGCTAAACCCTCTCTTTAATTAACCCACAGACTCAAGGGCTTAAAAAACCACCCATAGAAGTTATCATCCCCTTGGATATGTGGAACTTTTCAGCCTTCTTAGGGAACAAAGAGAGTTGGGTATCACCCACACATCTGTTTGTTCAGGGCCTTACTGAAGTGTAAATGTGCTGGGTGCTTTGATTTGCAATGCTCCAGTTTTCCCAGCAGTATTGCCAAATATCCTGGGCTGAGATGAGCTGATAGGAAACTATTTCCTTACTTATTTTGTTTCTTTTTAGTGCTTGGGTTTGCCTTGATCTTCCCCCCTCACAGGGTGGAGAACCCAAGTTTATGATGGATATTTATTGCTTGTTTCTTTGGTGCCATTGATGGCCATCTGTTGGTGGGAGAAGAAGGTGGTTAACTGGGAGTGGGTTTAAAAAGAGTTTAAAAGGGGATTAATGGGGAGAGAAGGAAATATCAGTGTTATGTGGGGTGTTCCCAGAAGGGAAACTGACTCAGGGATCATTTGTAGCCAGGGGAATCAGGACGACTCCCCCTCCCTCCCAGGATAAAGAAAGCTTAAAACTCCCCAAAAGCACAGTTTTAGGTCCCAGGAAGATCTTGTGTGTAAAGTCTAATTTTTTAATGGTGTTTTCATAATAAATTTTGGGGTTTATTTGTCTGGGTTTATTCTGCGGTCACTGAATAATGTCACAGGGGGTTAAACTCTGTCTTGTGCTCTACCTCTCCTCCCCCTCCCCCACTGCCTTTGCTCAGGACAGGCTGTAACACTTCATTTTTAAAATTTTAGGGTTAAAACCTGAAGATTTGAGTATTTAAGTGGGGTGGCAACATTGTGGTTTTGACTAGGGTGGGATGGGGGAATGAGACCTCCTATGGGAGGGAGAGGGACAACCTTGGTGCCATACTCACCTACGGGTGTGGAGCAGCTGTTTGGGAGGGACCCAGCTGTCACCCACCCTGCTCATCCTGCCTTGTGTCCCACAGGATGAGGCCTGCGGAACCTTCTCAAGGTGGTGAGGCTGTTCCTGTGCCACTGAGGAGGCCTGAAGCCTCAACACATCCCTGCACAGTTTACACAGGTATGTCCCTGCCATCTGCACCAGCGTGTCATGGCTGTCCCTGAGCCTGGTGATGTCCCCTGGGTCTGCCCTGGGGCATTCCGTCTGTCCCATCCCTGAATCCAGGGAATCTCGGCTGTCCCAAGCCATGGTTCCATCTCTGTTCCACCCCTGTCCCCATCCCTCTCCCATCCCTGTTCTCACCCCTATTCCATCCCCGTTTCCATCCCTATCCCCTCCCTGTCCTCAGCCCTATCCCATCACTTTCCCATCTTTGTTTCCATCCCTATCCCATCCCTGTCCCCATCCCTATCCCCATTCCTATCCCATCCCTGTCCCGTCCCTGTTCCCATCCCTGTTCTCATCCCTATCCCATCTGTATCCCACCTGTAAGGTAAAACATACACAGGTATTCTTCCCAAGAACGCCAAGGCAGTGGAAGGTTTAAAAGAAAAGGATTCCTTTTTTTACGATGCGGCGCATTGGGCCCCCAGGGGCAAAAGGCACCTCCTGTTTTCCCCTTCGAGTTTTTATTATCTCCACTCCCCCCTCTCTCCCCGCTGGAATGCCAAGGCCTACTGCATCTGCTCTCTCCTCACATGTCGGAGAGCAAGCTTCTGGAATGCAGCGTGGGGGGAGAGAACAGCACTGTTTTGAGAAAGTGGCAAGGGAACCTTTTCCTAAAGCGAAATAACTGACTCCTGGGTAACAAAATCTTCGGCAAAAAAAGTTACTTACCCTACACCATTCCTATCCCATCCCCATCTCACCCCTATCCAATCCCTTTCCCCATCCCTGTTCTCATCCCTGTCCCACTCCATCCGATCCCTGTCCCATCCCTGTCCTATCCCTGTCCCATTCCTGTTCCCATCCCTGTCTCATCCCTATTCCTATTCCCGGGGGCCGGTGCTGGCATCGGCGCGTTGCGGTGGGCGGGGCCTTGCGCGTGACAGGAAGTGGCGCGGTCTCCATGGCAACAGCGTCGGCCGGCGGGCGCGGGCGGGCCGGAACAGGTGAGAGACGGGATCGGGATAACGGGACCGGGATTGGGACCAGGATAAAGAGACCGGGATAAAGGGACCGAGTTCGGGGTTCGGGGCCAGGATTGGGATCAGGGTGAGGGATCGGGGTTGGCTGGAGGGCGGTGGAGCCGCGTTATAGTGCCCGGGTCTGTCTGCTCCCTTGCCGTGGTGGCTGGCAGTGGGACCGGGCTGTGGGCTCAAGCCTAGTCCTGGTGCTGGGCTCAGCCTTAAACCCGGCTGTGTGGCCCAGGCCTGGCTGTGGCACCGAGGGCTCTGCTGTGGGGCTGGGCTGGGCTGGGCTGGGCTGGGCCAGCCCTCACCAGGACAAGACAGAACAGGCAGGAACTGATGCCCAGGAAGTTCCACCTGAACATGAGGAAGAATTTTTTTGCACGGCACAGGTTGCCCAGAGAGGGTTTGGAGTCTCCCTCACTGGAGACTTCCAGAACCGTCTGGACACAATCCAGTGCCATGTGCTCTGGGATGACCCTGCTGGAGCAGGGAGATGGGACTAGATGAGCCACTGTGGTCCCTTCCAGCCTCACCCATTCTGTTGTTCTGTGATGTAGGGCTGGGATTTGGAGTTGTCACCCTCCCAGGCCCTGGTGTCACTATTTTGGGGGCACCCGGCTGCAGGTTCCCATCCCAGCTCCTCCCCAGGCACTGTATTTTAAGTGTCTCCCCTTGGTAAATCTTTGACATATACTGTGCTGCAGTGGTACAGGCCCTCACAGGAGGGTCCCACTATGGTTTCTCACAGGTTAGTTGCTTGAGGTTTTAGTTCTTGGAACTGGCAGTGTTACTGGTGATATCTGTAAGTGCTCCCCTGGGCTTGGGAGTCCTTCCTCAGTGCCTTGTTGCCTTGGAGTTTATTTGTTAGGAGCACTAAGGGGAAGGCACACACTCCCCTCCCTCCCACAAGCTCCTGGGAAACTGGGATGAGTCACCCGGGTGGGTGTCCCTGTCTGGCTCTGCTGGAGGCTAAGGAGGGACAGGTCTGTCAGCTGGGGCTGGGCAGGGCATGCTAGGACTCTGTCTTGCTGAGCGTTTCCATTTCACAGAGCTGGAGGAGAAATCGAGTGGTAAATAACACACTGCTGGCAAAGCACCACCAGGGCTGTTCCCTCTATTTGATTTAGAATAGAATCCCCAGATGCTTTGGGTTGGAAGGGACCTTAAAGCTCCTCCAGTCCTACTCCCTACCATGGGCAGGGACACCTTCCACTAGCCCAAGTTACTCCAAGCTCTGTCCAACCTGGCCTTGGACACTTCCAGGGATGGGGCAGCCAACAGCTTCTCTTGGCAAGCTGTGCCAGGGTCTCACCACCCTCACAGGGAAGAATTTCTTCCCAATAACCCATATAACCCTGCCCTCTGGCAGCAGGAAGTCATTTCCCCTTGTCCTGTCACTCCAGGACCTTGTAAATACTCTCTCTGTGTTTTTTGTCAGCTCTTTCAGCTAATGAAAGGCCACAATCAGGTCACCCTGAAGCCTTTTCTTCTCCAGGCTGAACAATCCCAATTCTCTCAGCCTTCCCCCATATCAGAGCTGCTCCATCCCTCTGATCCTCTTGGTGCCTCCTCTGGACTGGCTCCAGCAGCTCCACATCCTTCCTGTGCTGGGCCCCCAGGGCTGGAGGCAGCTCTGCAGGGGGGTCCAACCTGAGGAGGCAGAGGGGCAGAATCCCCCCCTCCCCTGCTGCCCACACTGGGGGATCAGCCTAGGGCACAGAGGGTTTCTGGACTGTGAGCACACATGGACAGGGCATGTTCAGCTTTTCATCCCCCAGCACCCCCAGGTCCTTCCCTGCAGGGCTGCTCTCCATCCCTTCTCCACCCAAGTGTGCCTTGGGATTGCCCTGACCCAGCTGTAAGATTTTGCACTTGGCTTTGTTGAACATTGTGAGGTTTGCACAGACCCTGCCCTGTGCTGGGGTGACAAACAGCAGCTGAGTCCCACTGTCATTTCTGGAGAATGCCAAGCAATCCAAGTTGATTTTCTTTTGCCTTGATAAATGCTGCCATGCAAACCACAGGAATGGAAGGGGGCACTTCTCAAAGGGTTGTTGTGAAGTTGCGACCTGGCTGGCTGGGCTGTCACAAGGCCTGTCCTGGTACAGCCAAGCGCTCTGAGTGCAGCTTAACTTGGGGAACATGCAGCAGAACATGGCTTTATCTTTAGTGGAGGTTGCATCACAGTCACAGAATATCCTGAGCTGGAAGAGACCCACAAGGACCATCCAGTCCAACCCCTGGCCCTTCACAGGACACTCCAACAATCCCTCCATGTCCCTGAGAGTGTGGTACAAACGCTGCTGGAGCTCTGGCAGCCTTGGGGCTGTGCCCTGGGGAGCCTGTTCAGTGCACAACTACCCTCTGGAGGAAGAACCTTTTCCTGAGATCCAAGCTAACCCTCCCCTGACACAGCTCCAACCATTCCCTTGGGTAAATCATTCTGTTAAGCAGCTTTTGGTCACAGAAGGGTTAGAATGAGTTTCTCTGTATTGAATCAGGGGTTTTCAACCTCAAGGATCTTCAGAGATGTTTAAAAAGCGAAGTGTAGTCAATCTTACCCCAGAATCCACAATGGGAACTCAATCTGCCACTGCAGGAACAGTGAAAAGGCCAGGGCTGTGTTTTGAAGTTTACTCATCTCCCATTTGCACTGAGTTTCCAGCTTCAGAATTAAAAAAAAAAATTGTTCTTTCCATCAAAAAACTTACTTTCAGTGGGGAAGGGCACAACTTCCTGATGCTCTGGGTCAAGTTTACACAACTCCTGACAAATCTAGCCCCTATAAATAACACGTCTCCCACTGCCCTTACTGCACTGCAGGACTGCCCACACAGTGACCCACTACATTTATTCTCTTTTTAGCTGACACACAGCACAGTGTGGGAGCCATAGGGAGATTAAACCCTCTAGAAGCTTCCTGGCCAGTTCCTGTAACTTTTCCCTCTGTTCCTGGCCAGTTCCTGTAACTTTTCCCTCTGCTCGCAGCCTGCAGGTGCAATGGCCACAGTGGCTTTCCTGGATGCAGCACTAGTTCAGCTCTGCTTCCCTCCGAGCACAGCCGCTCTCCTGTGGGCCAACACTGTCATCATGCACGTCACCAGGCCCAAATCTGCCAAGGGATGCAGAAGGCCAAGCTTCAGCCACCCTCAGGATGTGGAAGCCTGTCCATGCCAAGTGCCTTCTTCCCCACCGGCAGCCTCTCCTCGGGGATTAGTGAGCAGCCAGAGAGCACCACTCACAAAACTGGGGTTCCCACCCACTCAGGTGTCTCCTGAGGAAATCCCGGAGCTCCTGCAGCAAGTGCCTCTGAAGACCTCCTCTTCCCTGAACAAGTACCGGGTGCTCCCCTCCATCGGCTGGAAGGGCGTAGGGAGCAATGCCATGGAAGCGCTGGTTCAACAGACCGACCGGCTGGAAGTGAGTGAGGGGCAGAAGGACACTCTGAAATTCAGCAAAACTCTGTCTGGAGAACAGGGATCTGGCAGTACATTGTCAGGAAGCGATGTTCCCGCTGAGGAGAGCTCCCACATGCACTGTCCCCCTGAGAAGCGGGGAAGGAAAATGAGGCAGGAGAGCCCTTCCATGTCCCCTCTAAGCGTAGAAGAGCCCCACGTGCTGCTCGCGGTCCGGTCTCCCTCTGGCCAGAGGTTTGAGCACCACTTCAAACCCTCTGACAGTCTCCTGACAGTCCTTGCCATGGCAGGACAGAAATTGTTGGCCAACTACCAACACTGCAGCATTGAAACGATGGAAGTGCCCCGGAGGAGCTTCTCTGACCTTACAAAGTCCCTCCACGAATGTGGGATCCTCCACAAGTCTGTGCTGTGCATTCGACAGGACAAGCAGCATGATGCAGCAGATCTTTAGGCACACAGAGATGGGTCGTTCTGCTGAGTGGGATGCGTTGCTTCTTCCAAAAAAACTGAGTCTGATGTTTCCTGGGCCTACTCTTGCCATCTTTCACAAGTTCCCATGAAGCAGTTATGGATGTTGAGAAATAGTATTTCAGGTGTATAAACCTGCATCATAAAGAGCAGCTTGTTTCACCTGTGCCATCACAAATTGCTTCCTGAGTGCCACCAACCTTCAGCCTTTTTGGTTTGTTGAAGTTGCTGATGTTCTTTTTTGAAAACTCAAGTTTCCAAGACCTCTCCTCTTGTCCTTTTCTCTGTTTTGGGAAGGTACTACTTCCCAGAGTGGATCTGGATGCACCTATTTGGGAAGGTAGAAACAGAACTGTTTTACCTGCAGGACTCAGTAGCTGATCATCATCCTAAACATCAAGAGACTGAAAAGGAGCTTAAGCCCCTAAACCATCTGGAAGTAAGAGTATTAACACATTAATGGGTTATTAGGAAGTATTAAATTGCAAGACTGATTGTAAAATACCTGTGAGGGCTCAGCTCTTTCTGGGTAACCTCAGTCCAGCTCTTTACTGTGACTAAATCGCTTTTTTAAGAACAAATAGTTATTACTTTGTCTTGGTGAGCAGCAGGATTTTCTCCTTAGTTTCCCTTCTCTCATTCAGCTTGTGTGATCTGTAGGTAAGAACAGATGAATAATTAAGAAGGGATGTTACAAATAACTCCATTTAACACCTTAACACTGAAGCGAGTTAGTCCAAGAAGCAAAGTGTTGTTTTGGGAATTTTAAAATAAAAATGTATTAATGGGATTTGACTGAGGAATTGGCTCACACCATCTTTCACTAAACCATCATTAAAAGGCTGTTTGGCAGGTTTAGGTAACTACAATGTGCTTGTGCTAAAAAAAATATCTTCTAGTATCTAATGGAAATTCAAATAATTCAATCTACTTAAAAAATGGATCACTTACTACAGAGATGAGCGACTTTAAATGGTTTGAGGCAAACCCAGTTTATTATTTCAAACCTCAGTGTAACTGCCAAACCAGCCCAGCTCAGGAGCAGAAACACAACAGGAGCAGAAAGCTGATGCTGGTGCTGATCACAAGTGTAGTATCTGATGTTAAATAAGCGTTCAGGGTCCATGGCTTTATAGAACCAGTACCTGATAAAAGTTACCTGCTGCTGTGGGTGATGGAATTGCACAGCAGCAATCCCAGCTATTGAAACACACAGATGCCTTCAACTAAACCATAGCAGGGAGCAAAGTAGTTCAGGAAAAGGAATGATTTTCTATATTCCCTTCAGCATTAGGTGGCTAAATCCCTTGTTCTGACTGTTGTGTACTGTGTTACTTCACCATTTCAGAGTGTTTCCATCCTGTGATAGTACAGCCAATAAAACCTTTCAGGCTGAAACTTGAACTTCAAATGATTTATGTGAGCTGGAGGTTTATCCGTCACATCTCCTCTTAAGAAATGCCCTTAATTTGATGGCAGATAGATCAGGGATTGCCCAGATCAGCCATTGGACAGTCAGCTGCCCTCCACACCACCTTGCACTGGCCTTCCTGGAGTTTGGATCTCCATCCTGTGTTGGATACAACACAGCAGTGAGGGAGGAAGCACTTAGGATCAGTGACAAGCTGTTACCAGACACAGGGACCACCACGGAGATGTGAAAGTGCAGGGGCTGATGCTCTAAGCAAGAACAGAAGAGTAAGATAACATAATAACCTGGATCACAGTGGACTTCTCAATGCTGGAGGATGTTCCTCCTGCATATCTAAGATAAAGCTGGATGAGTTTGGTTCTAACCACCTCACCCAGATTACAGCATTTTAATGATTTCTTTGTCCAAAACCCACATGAAGTCTTTATCTAGGCAAGCACAGTGCAGGGAAAACAACTATTTTCTTCCTCAGTCCTCCTTCTCTTCCCTTCAAAACTCTTCTGGGGAGGTTTTAGAAGCAAAAAGTCCAGCACAAGAAGCACTGGGAGGAATAACAATACTTATCTGACCTCATTTATTGTGTGACATCACTTAACAAAGTTCCTTGTGGGAATCTTTTAAGGATTTCAGCATTGAAATTCAGTCTGTCACAGAATGAGGTGGTCATAAATAGAAAACTTACCATGACTCCTGGGAATGTCCTTACCTGAGGCTTTTAAACACCAACAGAGCATTCAAGCAAGAAATCAGCAAAGGGATCATTCAGTATGTGTTCTTTATTCCAATTAAAAGTACATTAGAAACAGCACACAGGACCAGCAGCAGCTTCCATGACAATTCAGCCCAATACTCTGCTGTCACCAGGTCATTCAGCTGTACTGGGAAAGTAGGTGATAAAATCAAGTCTTCCACTCGACAGGCAAGCACTCACTCACCTGCCACTTTAAATAGGATTCCAACAGAATAAAAATAGATACACCCCAGAATACAAAAAGTTTAATTTTAAGCGTTTTTTTTTTTCTTCACTAAAGCTTTTATACAAATTGATAAAAGGGTGCACAATTTCCTAAAATTTTAGGTACATTTTAAATGAGCCTTTTTTTACTTGGTAAAAGGATCCGTGTTCCTGTCTTTGAACAGAATATGGTGGCCAGAATTGCAAAGAAAACAAGTCATAGTTTAAATTTACAATTTATACATTTGTTTTGACATGATTCCCACACTGAGTAGCAGGGCCATGAGCTGTGCACCCTAAATTCTAGTTCAGGGGCCTCCTTCTCCTGGAAACTGAGCTGGGCAACAGCCCACAGGCTTCCAGCTGTGCGCATGAGAATGGTCCCAACACACAGGAGGTGTAAATCCTTTCTTCTCCAGGAATTGTGACTCCTACCTCATCCATAGAACACCCCAGGGCAGGGACCAATGACCTATTTTGCACTATGGAGCACTTCCCACCTGCAATTTGGCTGAGCAATTTAACTCAAAACTCTGGTACTGTAACAGGTAAACTTGGTGTTCTAAAGGTAAGTTTCTTGGTCAATGCAGGCTATCGTGATCTTTTGTTTCTTTTATTCCTATATAACTGATGGGTGATGCCCAGCAGCTGTGTACATTATCCATGCTGAGTTTCACAGCATAGGGAACTGAATCACATGGGGGAATTTAATTCACAGAGAGGATTTTAAGCAGACAATTAATTAGTACAGTTCCCTTCATATTGCCCCTCCCACCCCACCCACCCACACCTTAGCCATGTTAAACATGTCACCACCACCCCCTGTCACAGGGAGCGGCCATTCCAACAAATCCAGGACAAGGGAAAAGAAAATACTGCCCAGCAAAAGCAACATGGCACCTGTGTTTGCAAGTAGGAGCTACTGGAAACATCCTCAGGACAATATACATAAGGAAAAGCAGGGCAAATCCATCAGGAAGCCAGAAATGAGACTTAAAGAGCTCAGGGGAGTGCCAAGAGAATGACATCCTAGTTTGTATAAGTTGAGTATTTAGCCAAAAACCAGCTGCCTTGTTTGGGTTTTTGTTTTTTCTTATATCCATTATATATTCAGCTGTTGAATTTAAACTGATCAGGTTAATGCTGCACATTATTCCAATTAAAGGCAATAATGTTTCTTTTTTCCTTTTTAAATTTTAGATAATTCCATATTGCCCCTCTTTTGGCAAGTGTATTTCTCAGAATTCCAAAGATCATCTCATTTTAAGGCTAAACTAAGAAATGTTAAAAGCTTCTGTAAACATTTCCTTTTCCTCCCCATAGTTGCACAATTTGAAGTCCAACTGCAATTTTGAAAATGAGGTAATTTTTGTGTACTCATATCTTGAAGAGTCCTTTTCGGGACGAGCCGAGAGGCTGTGCCAATCCAAACGCTGATCCAATTGTAGTGGGAGAGCTTCCACAGCAGGGCACACACCAGTTCCAGCAGCTATTTCAGTTATTTATTTTCTCAATTTCATCCAAGTCATCAGTATCCAATTTGTTTATCTTTTTGTCTAGGAAAGATGAGAAATAAGTTAGATTTCATAACACATCACAGAGAAGGGAACGCTGCTCTCCTTAGCTGGACTTGAGGAGTTTTAGTTTATCAGGGAATGTTCAGTTGGGTTTTAAAAGTATAAATTAAAACTTTTTCCTTTTATCAGAGGCCCATCTGGGTACTCCAGTGTTACCCATCTCTGGAATGTGCAAACACTGCTTGACTTATGTCACAGGCAGCAGGCCACAACCCCAAGTGACACTACACCAAACACCTGCTGTGCTCCTCTGCCACCAGTTTAAGGCTCAACAAACACCCATTAGATCTCCTCAGCATCCAGCTACTGAGAATTCTGCAGGAATCCCACGATTTTAGAGACAGGAGAAAGCCTGGGGGTACGTACTGAAATGTTCCTGGATTCTGTTGAGAATGTTCATGCTGTGCTTGCTGTCCACCATGTTAATGGCCAGTCCTCGCTTGCCAAAGCGACCAGTGCGGCCGATCCGGTGCAGGTAGGTCTCGTTATCTGGATTCCCATCTTTATCCACAGGAAGGTCAAAATTGATAACAACAGAGACCTGTTCTACATCGATCCCTGACAAAAAGAAATCATGTTATACATTTAAATCCTTTTAGAGCGGGAACAGCCTCCTTAATCTCTGTAATGGAGCTTTTCCGCAATATTCTCACAGGGTACTTGGAAATAAAAAAACCATCTAGTTAGTGCAGAAAATCCCACTGAAACAGCCAAAGGAAAAGCAACTGGAGATGCTTTAACCAGCACTTAAATATTTTGGAAATTCTCTGCTCCTCTGTGAAGCTCTAAGGACTACTTGTTTTTTTTCCAAAGACTATCCTGTCTTAACTATTCTAGGATGTCAAATTGCAACACAAATTCCTACTGGAACAGTGAACTGGATTTCACTATTTTTCAGCTTTCTATACTTCAGCATGTTTATTGCAAACCCTGAGGGTCAGCAGCACAAGCCAGGCTTGGTGCCAGAAGCAGGAAATTCTCACAGGATGGACTTTTCCATCTCAAGCTGCAGGAAGCCAACAAGGAATCCTGTGTTTGCCCACAGGTATCTTTACTGTAAGGACACTAATTTGTCCCGACTGGAATATCTGAGGGAAATTCTCCCTGCAAGCTGGCCAGGGGTGTGTTGTCTTAGGAAGCACCGCCTTCCAGCCTGCCCTGGTCCCGCTCTACCATGTCCTACCTCTGGCACAGACGTTTGTGGTCACCAGCACCTTCTCCTTGCCCTCTCGGAAGCGCTCGATCACAGCAGCTCTTTGCTCCACCATCATCTCCCCGCTAAGCAAGGCCACCTGATGGCCTTCCCTGGACAGCTCTGCTGCCAGCCACCCCGCTGTCTTCCGAGTCTGGAACACACAGCCCAAAGTTGAGAGGGAGTTTTAATGCTGGAAAGCAGGAATAAACCTCTCTGGGGGACACTGGAAGCTCAGCAGCTGTGTTTGTGTCTCAAAAGGAAACGGCTATTAAGTGCTGTGCCCACTCCCTCCCTGTTACAAACTGTATCACAATGAGGAAAATGGGCCTCTGCCCCTACAGGAGCCCTTGATTAAGAAAAGGACACCTTTTCTTT